TAAGCTGGACACTGTTCATTCTACAGACGAACTCTTAGAAGCTCTGAAGCTCCAACTGTAAAAGCCTTGGAGGAAATTGTGGCCGGAGCTGGGGGCTAAATTTTTGTGGCCTTAAAATAGGCAGGGACTTCTTAGGTAAAGCTTAAAAAAAGAACCACAGACAGTGACAAAAAGATCATGGACACCATTAAAAGTAAGGGCGTTGTATTTTTTTAAATGTACATAAATCCCATACAATGAATAAACTCGTGAGAGAGACAATTGATGGGATACAGCTCTTCTGAAAGCACAGTAACTGCTCTCATAAAGCTTCAGACACTCAGGCCTGATGTTTTCACTACACAAAATCGTGACGCCTGCTGTGTCTGCTCAACATGTATTAACTAGAGAAAGGAGACAAGCATGGGAGGGCCAAGGTAAGGACGCTTGCTGCACAAGCATGGGGACCTGAGTTTGAATCCCCAGCGCCCTTTAAAAAAGCTGCAGCCCCAACCCTGTGGAGGGATGGAGGCAGAAGGACCTCTGGAGCTCAATGAACATCAGCCTAAATTTACATTGAGAAGGAGTCAGTTAATTCTCCCCTCTCTCTCCTCCGTGTGGAGAAGACCTAACGCTCTGCTCACCGCCTCTACGTCTTAGTCCCATGCCTCTCTCCTCTAGCAAAATCCTTAAAGACCGATCTTGTAAATTGTTGAAAACGAAGAAAAGGAGAATAGAACAGTCCTCTCAAGACATTTCCTCCTTAGGCTTTAGACTGAAAGGGGAGGGAGAAAGTTCTGGTATCAAAATAGGCAAAAGAGAAAGGTATTCTAATAATTTTTATAGTGTTGCTCAATTACAATGGAGACGGGAGGTCAAGGAGAGACCAGGTTTGGAGTGGGAGGAGGGAATTTGAGAACTGAATTTGAGTACATAAAATCTGAGAAGCTTGTTAGAAATTCAAGAAGAGATGTCATGAGGTAGAGGAATCGTGACAGACATAGTTTAGGAATTATGAGAATTCCGTTGGTATTTAACAACATGGCGTGTGATGAGATCACCTGGGGGATAAAAGAGAAGGGGTCTCTCCAGTATTAAAAAGCTGGACAGAGGAGGAGACATCTTCATTTAAGACCTAAGTGAAAACTAGGGAACCTTGCTGCAATGAAAACAAAGGATTTAGAACGTTTTAAGTGAAATAAAAAAAAAAAAGGTTTCAAATAAAATAACCATTGGAATCCAGAGGTTGGTGTCAGTGGTAGGATCAAAAGCCCAACTGAAGAAAGATGAGAGATAACGCCAGCGATGTGCCTTTTGGAAAGGCACAACTTTCAAAAAGTTTTGATAAAAAGAGAGAAAAACCAGAAAAATGGCTCTGGAAAACTTCAGAAGTAAATGAATGTCTGATAAAGTGAGTGAGGGAAGGAAGGTCAGAGGGAGGGAGAGACAGAGGGACAGCGGGAGGGAGAGACAGATGGACAGAGGGAGGAGAGACATAAAAGCGAGAGGGAAAGATAGAGGGACAGAGGGAGGGACAGAGGGACCGAGGGACAGAGAAAGGGAAAGGAGAGAAGGAAGGAAGGAGGGAAGGGAGGGAGGGAGGAGGAAAGGGAAAGAAGGAAGGAAGGAAATGGAGGGAGAGAGAGAAGGGGAGAGACACATAGGCTTGGGGATTCTCTCACGTGGCTATAGGCCTGTATGGATGAGTTAGGAGTGGTGCATTCAGGAGTACACTCAGACTAGACTCGTTCAGATGGAGGGGTCATGGGTAAGTGAGTGGACCTGGGATCAGGAGCATAAGTGGGGCACTGGCCTCACCCAGGGAATGGACCTTTATTTCTCTGACAGAGCAGGAAGCAGGTGTATATGAGTGAGCTGCAGGTGTAGGAAGGTTTGGGACGAGAACTTCAACTCCTAATTTGATTGCTACAGTATCTTAACGAGCTGAGAGACAAGACTAATAACTTGAAAATGGTGTGAGAAAAGGTTTGGAAGCAGAGATGAAGGTGCCATCTATCTCCAAAGAAATGCCTCCGCCACTGAGACTTATTATCCATGGCAACGCTTTCGTTTTAATCATGCATTTCAGACCCACAAATTGAAGTACTTCTGTAAACAAGTGGTGCCCGAGATGAATTGACTGTTGACAGGCGGGGTCACACACATCAGCGTGCACGCAGATACTGAATTTACTTTATCTAAAAATACCGATAACACCTAAAAGTTTTGTGAGTTTACTCAGACCAAAACTGTACAAAAAGTTTAACATTTTAAAATATTATAAATATGAGTCACATGTTTTACAGAGTTTAACATGGGAATATGGTCATTCCAATAGATGAAGCAAAAAACATTTATTAAAACTTTATGTTAACACTTTCACTATGATACTTCGTGAGGAATGCCTAAGAAATGAGCTAAGGTTGTCATTCTCCTTTCTTCTTAATATTAGTAATATTTACATATAATAAATAGGAATACTTGTATAATGAGGTGAATATTCTATAAATTATAATTAGTAAGAGTTCATAGTGATGTCAAATGAAATATTAATAAATACACAAGAATGGCTTCTTTGTTTCTTTCACAACATCAAAGAATTTTATTATAATGAGGAACGAAAGTAAGCTCCTTGGATTATGTCTTAACAGAGTATTTGTAAAATTTTGTAGATTTCTACCATTTGAGAATAATATAACCTCAATAAATCCTAAGAGACATAAATATACGGACAGAGATGTAACAACATTCATGACCAGTAAGACTTACTATTGCAAAAACACTTCTAAATCAGCTTACATTTAATTCAGTCTCCGTCAAAAATCTCTACAGGATTTTTTTTTTTATGGAACTTGACTGATGAAAATTAACTCAGAGTTTGTACTGAGGATTAAAGATCCCATATTAAGACAGTTTTAAAGAACAGCCTGGGGATGCCTGGAGAGGGAGGCAGATGGGATGACTTGACCTACATGCTATCAGAGCAATATTAAGATTACCATGTTATGATTAATTTTGTATGGCTCATAGATGACAATAAAAAATACCCATGAATCTGTCTGAGTCAATTTTGAATGATGTTTGATCATTTGATTGTACATTATGTATTACTAAGGAAAGATATCATGATACAGTAAATTGTAGTGTAAAAACTGATTGTCCATGTACGAAAAAAAAATCACACACACAAACTGTGTGCTTATAAATATAAACTAGCAAGTCAACTCAAGGAGAAAAAACTTAAAAGCTCTTGTCATGGTCATGCCCAGATTTACTTATTCCAAAGTTATCAAGGAGAAGGAAGACTAGTCACTGGGAAGCAGCCATTAAACTATAGTTTGGCCATAATATGGAATCCTGTAGCAGTTACAAAAGGATTAGAGAGGTGAAAGGGTTAAAGGGGTGGTGGATAATGGAGGACAGCAAGAAGACTCTGAATGTCAGGAGTGTCAGAAAACTGCAGGTGCAACACTGCCCAAAGTTTAAAGGGGCAGACAGAGGCATAGGATGTGAGAAGCCGGAGGAATACCCTCAGAGCGTCAAGAGAGTTCCAGAAAATGATGGCACCTCTTGCTCTATACATGGGAAATAGCACGTGGGGCTTTGTTGTGTTTCGATTTTCTTCATATCTTCTTAAGTGCTGAAAATACTTAGAGGGCAGACGTTAGTGAGAGCTACCTTTATTGAGCCCTTTATTCTAAGCCAATATCATTCAAGTTTTTATGTGCCCTGTAATCTCACCAGGTCTTGGTAACCCTTCCAAGAGTTTTTATGAGATTTTTTCCTTTTATTTGAGGAGTAAACAGAGGGCTTCTTTTTAAATAATTTTAAGGTGTATATGAGTATGTGGGAATGTCTGCAGTTGCATGGGAATATGCATGTGGATGACATAGAGGACAGAGGGCTTGCATCTGCCTGCAACTGGGGTCGGGTAATTGTGTGTCCACCTCGGGTCTTCTGCAAGAGCAGTGATCGTTTGCAATGACTGAGTCAACTCTCTAACTCCAGAGTCACTTAATAAATTAAACAATTTGTCATTAGTTGTGTAGCAATTAAGTGCCCAATCCAGACAGTTAAAACTCTATGCAGGCTAATCAACTTCTTTTGGAAAAGTTGTTTGTCTGGTGCAGCTTCCATTTCTACCTCTGGACGCAGCTGTACTATGACAGTAGGACATGGCTATCTTGGACCCAGAGACTGAGACTAGAATAGTGTTTGCTGGGAAGTGTGGAGTGTGAGTCACTTCCTCAGTGATCTGTTTATTCATTCAACAAATATTTATCAAGAGCCTGCATAGCACAGTGGTAAACCACCATTTATTTCTTGTCTGCAGAAGCTAGCCAAGCTTTGGGACAGAAATTTGAAATTTCCATTTCGACTTCCAACTAATGAAAAGAAAGTTGTAATTATTACTTATTTTAGGACTGGCAGTTCGGCCCACTATTGATTACACTTGCTCACTGTTGATATAAACTCCATATAGCACCCTACTGTTGCATAAAAACTCAATTTTGTAAAGCAAACAAATTACCAGTTGAAATTAAATTATTATTTTAGTTTACTATGTCTGCCCTTTTTCTCCATGCCTTTCCTTTCCTTTCTTTTCGTCTGCTTTTCATTCTCCACTTCAGTAGTATTTTGAGACTTGCCTTGATCATGTAGATATATTTTTAAACATTGTTCTTTCAACAAAATGCTGAGCTAAATACAACTCACTAGAATACATTGGGGTGCACACTCATCACAATCTCAGTAATCAAAGTGGGTGTATTCCAGAAACTTCCTTCCTAAAGAACAGTTTAAAGTTTATGTTGACCACATGTGCATATGAAGTTTATAGCTTGGTAACAGTTCTGCCTTTTAATCACTGTGACGTTGTGAGAAATAACTATACACATAATAGTGTTAAAAATAACCTTTGTTGATATTTAGTGTTTATCTTAATGCTTATGTGATAGAAGTATTCAAACCCTAGGCTTTTTTCTTTAATCATTTATTTCTTTTTTATATCAAATGATCAGGGACCTGAAGGAATTGTAGGAACCCCAGGACAAAGAGGTCGACCAGGGAAAAAGGTAATTTTTTTTTTTTTGCATCTTTTCATGTGGGCTCTCTTCGTTCTCATGCCCAGAGATCTACAGAGTACTGTGACGGCTGTATTTGCATTAGACATAAGGTGTAAAGATTTATAAATGTGTCATTAGAGAAGACGTGGTTAATCTAATACGAGTGCATATTGTTGTCATTGTTTGAGGACAGATCTTCCTCTTTATAGTTTGGAAAGTCAATCTTTCCTCTCTTATTTACCAAAAAGCTATGGACAAGGAAAGATATAAAACAAAACTATCATTTCATTTGGGACATTTGAGAACAATTTTAGTAAAGTATCTGGGGAGAATATTGGGATTTCTCTTCTTTCTAGGTTAATCAGAAATTGTTTCTCAATTGAAAAGTTTGGTTTTTCTTACTTTTCTTATGTAACAAAACCCAGAAAACAAGAACATTTTTTACTTGCTTGCTTTGTTTGTTTTACTTTTCCAAACAAACAAAATCTTTGATGTATTTGTATGATCCTAATATGTTGCTATCAAAATGCTTCTTCGTATTCATCAATAATTTGTCTCAGTATTGGTGAAGCATGGTAACAGTTTTTCTAACAGACTGTGACAGTCGAGTACACATTCACACAGTTAACTTTAAATTAAATGTTTGTTTCTCCAAAAGTTCAGTTCTGTACCTTAGCCATTGGTCTCAGTTTTAGCCAATAGAAAGCCAAGAAAAGCTTGAACTTCCATTCCTAACTGTGGAAATACCCCCATCATGAAGTCTCTTTCAGGGTTCATGATAACCTATCATCAGTATTGGTTTGGGGAGACTTATAATTGCCTGACAGGATTTGGTCCAAAGAGATACACACACACACACACAGAGAGAGAGAGAGAGAGAGAGATATTCAGAGAGAGACAGAGACAGAGAGAGAGAGAGAGAGACAGAGAGACAGAGACAGAGACAGAGATTCAGAGAGAGACAGAGACAGAGACAGAGACAGACAGACAGATACTCTCATACACAGAGAGACAGAGAGAGAAAAATATACTCAGAGAGAGAGAGAGAGAGAGAGAGAAATAGACATTCACACACACACACACACACACACACACACACACACACACACACACAC